CAGCTATAGCCAAACTACTATACTCATGTCCATGCAACACATCATTCATATCCAACTGGCAGACACCACCAGTAAGACTCTGCTCCTTTTTTCACCCCAAACCTATCTTAAATTTCTTTCTGTGGTGTAAAGGGTAAGGCTGCTGCCTGCAGTGCCGGCATCCCATATGGGCACCGGTTCCCATCCTGGCTGCTCCACTTCTGGTCCAGCTCTCTGCTAAGGCCTGGGAACGCAGTGGGAGATGGTACCAGTCCTTGGGCCACTGTACCCACGTGGGAGACCGGGAAGAAGCACCTGGCTCTTGGCTTTGGATAGGCAGGGCTCCATCCGTTGCAACCATCTGGGGAGTGAACCAGTGGATGGAAGACCTCACTTTCTCTGCCTCTGCCCCTCTGTGACTCTACCTTTCAAATAAATAAATAAATCTTAAAAAAAAAATTCTTCCCTTTATTTAGCTCTTGCAATATTTACTAGTTATAGCAATTACATTAGCTCTCTTAACATGCTCTCTTATTTATGTCTATTTCATTTATCCAACTAGACTGTCAGGGCTATGAGTTCCTAGTCCCCATTTTCTTTTTCATTTTTTATTCCATTGCTTATAAAACCAGGTTTTAATGTTAAGTTATAATTATTGTAAAGGAAGTACCCCAAAAATTCTTTTAAAAAACCAGTGGCCAATCCATCCATATGTTATCAAATTGAAATTTCCCCTATGTTCTTATGCTTTTGCTCAGAAATCCAAAGACCGTTCCAACCACAAAAAAAAAAAATAAAAAAGCAATCCTCCGTATCAGTCTCTATATAACCCAGGGGCAACTGGTGGAAGGGACCACAATATTATCTCTGCCCAAATTTATACAAAGCAACCTTCCCAGGTAGAGGGAATAAAATCTTAGCATAGCAGAACCATTTAATATTAGTGCAATGCTTGTTTAAACTGGAAACTGACTGGAAGTGAAATATATCACCTTGCCATCCAGGATTACATCCAGCAGCTTCAAATAACTAGCATAGCCAAGAAAAATTATAAGCCCATCTAATGGTGGACTTTGAATCTTGATACATCTCTCAAGAACAGATAGTAGAAAAACCTCACACAAGGATTATAGCAAAAATACTGCAGAAGAACATAAAGAGAACACTATGCTGAAAAATCAGGTAATGATCCTTGTAGATGAAAATAACACACTGCATGAATAAGAAGGAAATTCTAATAGTTTAAGTTCTTTTATTTAAAAAAAGATTTATTTATTTGGAAGGCAGAGTTACAGAGAGAGAGGGCAGCAATGGCTGGGGCTGGCCTAGGCTAAAGCCAGGATCCAGGAGCTTCAAGCGGGTTCTCCATGTGGGTGCAGGGGCCCAAGCACCTGGACTGTTTGGTGCTTCCCCAGGCATATTAGCAGGGAGCTGGTTTGGAAGTGTAAGAGCTGGGACTCAAACCAGCACCTATATGGGATACCAGCATTGCCAGTAGCAGCTTTACTCACTACGCTACAACACTTGCCTCTAAATTCTTTTTTTTAAAAAAGATTTGTTTTATTTGTTTGAAAGCCAGAGATAGATAGACAGACAGACAGACAGCTAGCTAGCTAGCTAGCTAGCTAGGCCAGGCTGAAGTCAGGAGCTAGAAGCCTCACCTGAGTCTTCCATGTGGGTACAGGGGCCCAAGTACTTGGGTCATTTTCTGCTCCTTTCCAAGCACATTAGTAGGGAGCTGAATCGGAAGTGGAGCAATCAGGACTTGAACCAGCACCCATATGGGATGCCAGCATTTCAGGCAGTGGCTTAATTGCTGCACCACAATGCTGGCCCCAGTTTTGAATTCTTAATATGCAAAAAGACACAGATTCCAAGAAACAAGAAATTAATAATTATCTCAATTTGGCTAGTAAATTATATTTACAAAGATGAGCAAGAATGAGGAGCAAGTTGAGTTAAAGTTTTTATCTTACATAGGCATAATTTTTGTCTGAAAATGAGAGAAATATATTTTATGAGTTTTTAAAGTATAAAAAGTATTTTATTTTAAGAGAACAAATAGGAGATGTACATTTCACATTACTAAAGAAGGAGCACAAAATTATTCATATAGCCAAGGGAAAATCAGTATGAAAAGCAAGGGAACATTAAAAATAATATAGAAGAATATATTGGACCAAATATGTAAATTATCACAACAGATGTAAACATATTAAACTACTATTGAATGATTAAAGTCCAAGACAGAGTTAATACTTGAAAATCCAATGTGGGCTCCAGGACACAAAACTGGCATATTTGGGATTCAGTCCCTCTTCTCTTTGGCCTTGAAGTTTATATGTTCTCTGCTATGTGATGTCCTTTCACTAAATATGTTAATGAAATTAAGTTCTTTATATTTCAGATATTTAAGTTAATTTTATCTACATACATAGATAATGCACTAAATACTGTAACTCATTTTGTATATCTGATAAAGTAGGTTTTAAAAGATGCATATGTGTATACACTATATATTAATACTTGCTATATCTAGGATATTCATATTCATATGATATGACAGATTTAAAAAAAGAGTTGGGGCAGACATTTGGCTCAGTGGTTAAGAGGTCATCTGGGGAGACGATGCTGGTGCAGTAGTTTAAGCTACAGTTGCAACACCAGCACTCCATATTGGAGTACTCGTTCAAGTCTCAGCTGCTCCACTTCTGATCCAGCTCCCTGCTAACATACCTGGGAAAGCGGTCAAAGTACTTGGACCCCTGCCTCCCACACGGGAGAGTCAGATACGGTTCCTGGATCCTGGATTTGGCCTGGTCCAGCCCCAGTTGTTTCAGTCATTGGGGGTGAGCCAGCAGATGGAAGACAGAGCTCTCTCTCCCTCTGCCTGTCTCTCCCTCTATGTTAACTCTTCTTTCAAATAAATAAATATTAAAAAAGAAAGACATCACTTAGGACATTCACATTTCCTATCAGAGTGCCTGGGTTTGGGTCCCTGTTACTCACATGAGAGACCTTGCTTTGGCCCTAGCTGCTACAGGCACTTGGGGAGTGATCCAGTGGATCGAAGATTTTTGCCTCCAACATTCAAATAAAATAAAAAAAAAATACATAAAAGTTTTTTTTAAAAAAGATAATATTACAGGGGCCTGCACTGTGGTGTAGCGGGTAAAGCTGCCACCTGCAGTGCCGGCAACCCATTTGGGCACTGGTTTGAGTCCTGGCTGCTCTACTTCCCATCCAGCTCCGTGCTATGGCCTGGGAAAGCAGTGGGAGATGGCCCAAGTCCTTAGGGCCCTGAACCCACGTGGGAGACCCAGAGGTAGCTCCTGGCTCCTGGCTTCAGATTGGCGCAGCTCTGGCCATTGAAGCCTTCTGGGGAGTGAACCAGCAGATGGAAGACTGACCTCCCTCTCTCCTTCTCTCCCTCTCTCTCTGCCTTTACCTCTCTAACTCTACCTTGCAAATAAATAAATAAATATTTTTTAGAAAAGATAATATTACGCAGGGCCGGCACTGTGGCACAGCAGGTTAAAGCCCTGGCCTGAAGTGCCGGCATCCCATATGGGCACCAGTTCGAGACCCTGCTGCTCCACTTCCAATCCAGCTCTCTGCTATGGCCTGGGAAAGCAATAGAAGACAGCCCACTCTTTGGGCCTCTGCACCCACGTGAGAGACACGGAAGAAGCTCCTGGCTCCTGGCTTCTGGCTTTGGATTGGTGCAGCTCTGGCAGCTGCGGCCAATTGGGGAGTGAACCAGCAGATGGAAGACCTCTCTCTTTGTCTCTGCCTCTCTCTGTAACTCTGTCTTTCAAATAAATAAAATAAACTTTAAAAAAAGATAGTATTACATACTTATCTTTTAAAAAAGATTTTATTTATTTCAAAGGCAGAGTTACAGAGACAGGGAGAGACAGAGAGAGATCTTCCAACCACTGGTTAACACCCCCCCCCCCCCAAAATGGCTGCAACAGCTGGAGCTGGGCCAGGCCAAAGCCAGGAACCTGGAACTCCATCTAAGTCCCCCACATGGATGGCAGAGGCCTAAGTACTCAGGCCATCATCTCTTGCTTTCCCAGGTACCATTAGCAGAAGATGGGTCACAGGTGGAACAGCTGGGACTTGAAACGGCGCTCATATTGAATGCTGATGTTGCAGGGGGCGGCTTAACCTGCTGCAGCACAATGCCAGCCCCACATGGTTATCTTTTTAAGGCAATGGTTCAGAGCAGAATATTGGTCTAAATTTATGGTAGTAAGCACTTTTAACAATGAAACAATAACTATAGGAAAGTGTATGTATATATGTAGTTAATTAAGTTAATCTGCAAAAAAGTTTTTGTAGAGCTTAATTTACAGCAGTAAACTCAGTAATTAAACATGAAGAAGGACTTTTGGAGCTTAAGAAAAAAAAATGAAGCACTTAAATATTATAGACATGTTTCACCACTGACAACCACTGATTTGGCTGAAAACAAGTCCTGACCTCCTTTTAAATTACAGGCACAGCAACCAATGTGGATGATGGCAGTTACTTAACACTTAAAATACATAATCTGATTTTAAAATTTTTATTTTTAGTTGAAGATTTTAAGAAAAAAAATGCTGTAACCCAATCATGACAAAATTCAGGTGACATCTGTACTAGGCAGAATCCTGTTGTTATTCTCCTGTCTAGCTGCAATTGCTGAGAATGACAAAGTAGTGAAATTACATTTTCCCATTATTATTTCCAGACACTCTCTGGCAATGGTTTGTTGACTCTAATAAACCTTCAGACAAAGCTGTCAGCAAAGGAAATGGCAGAAGGAGAGCAAGGAGAAGCCTCTTTAACAGAAACTGCATCTAAAACCTTGGCATTAGCTTGTACAGTTTCTTATAAAATTTAATGTGTGCTTCAAATATTTATTCTAATCTGCATTTGAAATGCTATGAGAAAAATGGATTATATCAAGTCATATTAGCAGTGATTTTGATGAACATAAACATATTATTATCTTAAAGAATGAGACACCTTACCTGCTATAGTATTAAGAAACATCAAATATTCGAAGTTCGAAATTTCCCTTCTTTGCCAGCGCTGAGTCATGTTGGAAGATTTATAAAGCTGTCGAGGAGTGGCCAATGATATCCTCCTAGTAATTAAGCACACCATAACACACATAGTCTCTTATAGCTCATTATGTTTAATAATCTGATATTAACAAATATATTGGTTTGATAACATCCAATTTAAAATAATTTGTGGTTTATTCTTCTTAGCTGAATTACAAGATATATTTCAATGATAGAAATTTGCAATATTCAATAATTCTACCATAGAGAACATACTTTAATTACTTAGGACAATCCAATTTGGAAGTAATAATATAGCTGAAAATGTGTATTTTATAAATAAAAAGGACAAAAAAATATAAACCTATGTTTAGTACAGAACATCCAGCCCATGTAAATAAGCTAGATAGGTAGTCAGGTAACTTCTTTACAAGCACTGACTCAAGCCTTATATTATAATGACTATAACTGAACTTCTTGCACCTGTATCCACACACAGTGTACACACTTATACACACTGAGCAAAAAACAACCAAGAAGTTTGAGAAAAATGTAGGAGTCTAGAAGAAGGAGCATAGGAATAGTTTAAAGCAAATACATCAGAATAATTTGTACAAATTATGAGACTTTCCACCTTCAACACGTCTATATTTTAAAAAATGAAGACTGGTGTATTTAGAAAAGTCTGATAAAACTACAGTAGGCCACCTTATCTTCACAGGATATATTCTAAGAACCTTAGTGGTTGCCTAAAACTGAGGATAGTATTGAATCTTATATACAAAGACACTTCAAATAGTTCATGGAAAAATGTAAATAATACTGCAAAATTTTCCATCAATGATGAACTTCTGGAATATTTCTCATGTACTGTGCTTTTCCCCCCTTAAATACACTTAACATTATTTTTTCACTTTAAAGGAAGCACTCTCTGGGTTCTTTTTGGATTATCCAAATTGCATCACTACTACTGATACTGTAGGGCCATTATTAAGTTAAATAAGGATTTCTCGAACACAAGAATTGGTACCACAACAGGTGGAGCTGATAACCAAGGTGGCTAACAAGTGACTATCAGGCAGGCAGCACAAATGGTGTGGATATACTGGATACAGGGATATCTCAGGTCCTGGGCAGGATGGAAGCGGAGGGATTTCATCACACTACTCAGAACAGCTCACAATTTAAAACCAATGTATTGTTTTTTCTGGAATTTTCTGTTTGGTATTTTCTGTCTGTAATAGACCACAGGTAACTGAGACTCCAGAAAGAAAAACTTTGGATGAGGGGGTGCTAAAATAGTCATCACCTGAAACAGAGGTTCCCAAACTGTCCAAATTCACGCCACCCTTAGTGTTTCAGCGGTTTTTCTCATGGTATTTCTTGGTCAAGTAGAATACCTAACAGTTCTATTCATTAAAATTCAACTCAATCAATAAACAATCAATACTTAATGTCTTAAGAACTGAGTAGCTCTTGAAAAATGTAACACTCATAAATAAAGAGAAATAATAATTTAATTCTTCAATACCACAATTACTAATGGGATATGTGTACCTGCTGGGTCCTACATAGCTGTTCAAACCTTGGAGTCAGATGTGACATCTCTCCCTTTGTTGTTTGACACTGATTTTTAATGTGGCTCTTGATTTTGAACACAGCAAAGACCAAATACCAGTTTCACAAATATTTCATTGAAAACAATGAAGCTCTTTCTAATGCTAAAACTTAGAATTAACTCCATCTAACAGTTTGTGCAGTATCTGCCAGATGTTGTTGTGTTTCCCTAAAAAATATAAAATTCCCTGCAGCAGTCCAAAGAGCTTACTGTGCCATCTCAGGGCTCCTTGGTGCTCAGTTTGAGAACTACAGATATAAGACAATTCCTGTCACTCATGAATTATTATGAAGTTTGTCTCACATGTAATATTAATAGGCATTGTCACGTACACAGTAGGTGTTAAGTTACCCAAGGAGGGGGGAGGGAAGGAGGAAGGAAGGATGAGAAAGATTCCCTTTTATCTCAAATTCTAATTTGAGTTAAAATTTTTAAGAATCATGATATGTAACTGCATGTTTAAAATACTAACTTAATGATTTACAGTAACTTATTCACATATTAGAATACTTAAAATATTTACTTACACATATTTAAGCTAACATATTATTTGCATATATTTATGGCCATATTTACTTACATAAACATATTTACTTACATACATACTTACAGACATATTTACTTACACATATTTAAGGCTACTGACTGACTCCAAAAGAATAATATGATCTAATGATCTGCTTAATTTCAATGGTGAATTATTAATGGAGGAGTAGGTATTGTGACACAGTGGGTTGGACTGCCACTTAGGGTGCCTGCACCCCATGTCGAGATACCAGTTCAAGTCCTGCTACTTTGCTTCTGATCCAGCTGCCTGTTAATATATATTGGAAGGCAGCAGATGATGGCTCAAGGGCTTAGGCCTCTACCACCCATGTGGGAGATCCAGATTGAGTTACTGGACCCTGGTTTCTACCAGGCCTACCCCTGGCTATTGTGGTTATTTAGTGTCTCTCTCTTTCTCTTTCTCTCTCTCTCTCTTTTGCTGCCTCTCTCTGTCACCCTGCCTTTAAAATAAATAAATAAGTAAATTTAAAAAAAGTTAATGGAAAGTAGAAATAAAAGACAAGAGCTTTTTGAAGACTTTTATATATTTATAGTACTTAAATTCTATAATTAATTCATTTATAGTAATTCACAATATGATTTTTAGGGACTTACAAAGAAAGAGCTTTAAGATTTGGATCCATACTGGTACTAATATTCAAAAATTTTCCAAGCATGCTCCCCTTCACACAATGATTTTATACCATAAATTTAGCCCTTGTTCTGACCTTGTAGGGCAACATGACAAAGTTTTTTTCTGAATTATCAAATAATCAACAAAGTATGCTTAGCCCAATTTGATTATCACTATTATAATTACATTCTTAATAATTTGACTAAAATTCTTACCTGCAGTATGCTGTTTGCTAAAATAACTATTTATATAACACGAGTAAAGTTTTGAATCTTTACTGGCATTTTGAACCCAGATAATTTAAGAATATCATTGCTGATCTGGAAATAATTCTGTCACAAAAAAAAAAAAAACTCTCTAAAACAAACAAATCCTGTTTGCTATAAACTGTATGTAATGAGAATTTTGGGAGAAAGTTATCATATCACCTTTAGAATGGGTAAAAGTAAGAAAAAATATAGAAACAGAAAATGAATTTAGAAAAGCAAAGTATTAGTGAGTTCAAGGAAAGGATCTGTTTTTGTTGTTTCTTTCTTGCTATAAAGAAGAACTAAGCAGGAAATATACAGTACTTATTGTTGGATACTTAGCATTTAGCAATGCTAGACATATAGTGAGGTTCAATAAGAACATACTGAATGATTTGAATTGCTGTTCATCTACTCTAAAAGGGAAAATGGCTGAAGATACATGTAATGCTAAAAAAATTAAGTAATTCAATTGTGCAAAGTATTTGCAAAAAATTAAATCAGTAAGACTGTTCAGAACATCCTGAAACAAGTTTAGAATGAGAACAGCTACTACATATTTGGGCTATAAGAGGATGCTTTTAGAATTGGGGGCTGGTGGGGAGCAGTCAGCATTAAGTCCCTATCTGAAACATCGGCATTCCACCCATCAAACTGCTGATTTGAGTCTTGGTTACTCCACTTCTGATCCAGCTCCTGGCTAATGTGCCTGGGAAAGCAGCACAAAATGGCCTGACTACTGGGCCTCTGCCACCCAGGTGGGAGACCTGGAAAGAGTTCCAGGCTCCTGGATTTGGCCTGTCCCAGTCCCAGCTGATGCAGCCATTTGGGGAAAGAATCAGCAGATAGATCACTTACTCTCATCATCTCTCCCTCTCTCTCTGTCACTGTGCCTTTCAAATGAATAAAATAAATCTTTTAAAAAATAGAACTGGAGAACATAAAGATAAATTGCTCTCTGAAACAAAAAGTATTAAGTATTCTAACAGACTGTGATTATTTTAAAACATCAATTGTATTAGAATCAGGGTATCTCCTTTATCAGTGAAGAATCTAATGAAATGTAAAGTGATTGATTCTGTTGAATAGAAAATATATATTAATGAAGAATTGTAATCATTATGAAATCTAAAATTTGGGCATATGTTTGCCAGTATTTTTAAGTCGTCAAAAATGTGAGAAGGTATTGTTTTAGGATCAGTGTGAGTCACCTTGAAAAGACATAGGATAGGAAATAAGGAAGTGGGCATGATGAGTAACTTGGTTAAAAAACAAAATTTTCTTGTCTGTAAAAAGAGATAAAGACTCTATTATTTGAAGAATATAGCTGTTCCAAGAATTAAAGCAGGGCTGGGTGCTGTAGATTAAGCCACCTACTAATATGTCAGCATCCCATAGCAGGGTGCCAGTTTGATTCCAGGCTGCTCTGCTTCAGATTCAGCTCCCTGCTAATGTGCCTGGAAATGCAGCAGGAGATGGCCCAAGTACTTGGACCTGTGTCACCTTTGTAGGAGACCTAGATGGAAATCCTGGCTCCTGGTTTCAGTTTGGCCCAGCCCTAGCGCTATAGCCATTTGGGGAGTGAACCAGCTGATGGAAGATATGTCTCTCTCTCTCTTTCTCTATCTGCCTTTCAAATAAATAAATTTTAAGAAAAAGAATTAAAGGTAACAATACTTTTAAACTAAAACAGAAAGAATAGTAAACAGAAGTACATGGGAAGTAGTCAGTAAATGATACCTAGGAAAATTAATTAATTGAGGGCCATGCTTAATGAAAATATTCCCTTTGTCCTAAATCCAAACAACAATCTGATTTGTAATGTGATCTATCTGATGCGCTTGTCAAAGAAGTAGCCTTAAAGGTTTGTGAAGTCAACTGTTCTGGCAGTATACTTGAAATTGAATTTGATAATATATTTGTTGTCATTTACAGTAACCATCTTTAATATCAAGAAAGCAAAGCAAAGAATGGAGCCCTGGTCCTTGTTGGTGATTCTACCAAGGTACTCTTCACTGATGGGCTTCTACTTGTAGGAGATAGGCATTGTCCCTTCCCTTTAGCAATTCTCTAATTGTAATGAAATCTCACATATCTCACATACATACATGCTTATGGATCTGTACATGTATATATAATGAACTATCTAAGATATGAATGTGTATGCATGAACATATCCACGTGTATAGTGCATAAGTATATTTATAGTCCACAAAGTGCCTTTATTCTCTCAAGATTCTCAAAGTTTCTTTTTACAAGGACATTGACCCTGATTTACAGTAAATGAGACAGTTGTTCGTCTTGTCTACTTTTTTTAAAAATTTTTTTTGACAGGCAGAGTGGACAGTGAGAGAGAGAGACAGAGAGAAAGGTCTTCCGTTTTGCTGTTGGTTCACCCTCCAATGGCCGCCGCGGCCGGCGCACTGCAGCCAGCGCACCGTGCTGATCCAAAGGCAGGAGCCAGGTGCTCCTCCTGGTCTCCCATGGGGTGCAGGGCCCAAGTACTTGGGCCATCCTCCACTGCACTCCCTGGCCACAGCAGAGAGCTGGCCTGGAAGAGGAGCAACCGGGACAGAATCCGGTGCCCCGACCGGGACTAGAACCTGGTGTGCTGGCGCCGCTAGGCGGAGGATTAGCCTATTGAGCCGCGGCGCCGGCCCCTCTTGTCTACTATTACTCATTCTTTCAACTAATGTTTATTGAGTTCCCATTAATTATCATGTTCTGTTTCTTACTGTTACTCAGCTAGCAAGCGGCAGGTCTCAGCCTAGATTCAGTGTTCCCTCAACCCCATATGCTATGGTCTACATATCTCAGCAGGTATACAACATCCAGCCTGTAAGAAAACTTAGTTTATTAGAAAACTAAGAGTGAGTTGAACCCTTTTTGGGAAAGATAAGCCAAGGACAACAGAAGTGTGTTTTAACAGATAGTGACTTTATGAAGTAACCAAGAAACCCAAACTAGCAAAACTATTTTGATTCCAAAAATCAGAGAGACTAAATGTGGGTAAATGGGAAATTATGCTTATAATAGGTAAGGAAGATAGTAAAAGAGTTTCTGTTGGTTTTAAATTAATTCAGGTCCAGACAAGTCCAAGAGCACTGCAGGAAATTACACATGACACCAAGAAACCCATATTAATAATCTTTCAGGAATCATCGGCATTGAGAAAGATGTTAGGAGGCAGATTATTCTTAAAAAAGAAAAGTAAGGCCTATTTGCGAGTTCTTAATGTCAATTCCTGGAAATTTTCTTGAATTGATGATTAAACAAATAGTGTGTAAGCACTTGGGAAAGGAAGTAGTGATTACTATGAGTCACCTTAGATTCAGTAAGAACAACTCTTGCAAAACTAACCTAATTTTATTTGATAGATTAAATGCATTTTTCTTTGACCTGTATTTTATAAGAGCTTCATTATCTACTAATGTCTTAGTTTAATCTTGCCATCCTACTAGCAAAAATCTGAGCATGTGTATACATGTATGTCAATAAACTTTTCTTCTACTGTAGGCTTAAAAAAAACAGATAAGGTAATCCCAGTCAAACAGCACTGAAAATGTACCTCCGCAATTAGGCTCTGTGCTAGCTGCAATAGATTAAAAGACAATCAAACAAACAAAAAACACTGTCCTTATCTTTCAAATGTCTTAGCCTATTTATGGAAATATAGACAGAGTTTAGTTTTCCTTTTCATCCATGCAGTGCGCCGTAATAACCCTCAGGAACCTAACAGTTTACGTAGAAGACCCTGCTGCTTGTCCACCCAGGGCCAGTCTCTCTTCCTCATCAGCAGAAATGCTCATTTGGTCAGGCTAGATGGGACAAGCAGTTCTGAGACACATGTTACCCTAGTTTCTAGAGGATGTTTGGGTCAAGCCAGGAAGTTCCCTCCATTTTGACAGTGATTGTTTTAGGAGAAAGAAAGTGACCTGATTCTGGCCAAAGGGAGTTGGGGTAAAGATCACTGGAGGCTCTAAGAAATATATTCCTTCCTAGAGCAGAGAAATTCTTTGTGCCTTTTTCCTACTATAATGCAGTTGTGTGAAGATGTGACATCTGGAATAGTAGTGGTGATTTTGTGAACAGGAGGCCAAGTGAGAATTCTGTCATCCCTGAACTTCTGAGTTAATCAATACATGTTATGCCTTAACTCCAGATGTTTTACCTCCTATTGGTTAATCCACTTTTAGTCTGGTATTCCACTACTTAAAACCAAACACCTAGCTGCTAACAGCAATACATGTAATTACTGACTTTTGCTTAAGCTAGTGTTCTTCACTAAAATAAGATTTCAAAATGATTCTTCTAAAATACCAAGATGAAAGATATAGGAGATGGTTAAGATTACACCATAATTAATGAGTATTAATCTTGATAAACTGAGAGTTTTACAACTTTAATAAAGAAACATTTATACACAGCATTTATAAAACATAATTTATATGCTATTCCACAGCAAATAATCACAAATATCCTGAGGCTTCTTGTTATGTTTGTTGTAATATTTTAATTAAAAATGTTCTAATTATATATGTTACCTATGATTGGTAAACAATTTTTTTCCTTCTCATTTCTGTATGTGTTGAATAAATTCTGCCCTAGTCCTATCTTTCATTTTCAAAAAACTGTTTTAAAAATCTCTTTCCTTTAAAATAACCTTCAGAGAAAATATATTCTTTAGCCCTTGAAGTAATTTGAAACTACATTTCAAAACTAAAAAAACTACATTTCTATTTCTGTCATATTGGGACTAAAATATGTTAACAAACCATAGATAATGTGTAACATGATATAATTACCTGGCTTGTGGCAAACCATAGCTGGTCCCCACTCCAACCCGAGGCAAGCTATAGACAACTTTTTTCACTGTTGCTTGATCAGGGAAATTAAACATAACCGAGGCTGTGGTAAGAAGAAAAAAACCACAATTTAGTAAAACACAGGAGAACTAACCATCAACTTTCAAGAAATTATTTTCAGTGCTTACTCTGATTTATTTGTAAAGGTAATGGATCTTCATGGAAAAATCAGCTTTCTATATAACTTTATTCATGAGAAACTTGGGGTCAACATTTTCAAACAAGTTAATCCTTGAATGTTTTTAATTTTTGTTTGTTTTAGCAAGATAATTGATCAAAGAGAAAAGATACAGTTGGAAAAAATCATGAGAGTACCACATCATTGAAAGAGATATTACCCACCCCAAGCACATTTTCTTTTAAATTATTTAAGGGGACTTACTTCGGTTTGCCATAAACACTTCCAAAGCAGTGTTTTGTAGAAGGTAACGTCTTGAAAATACAGCTCGTATCTCGCTGAACATCCATTTTCCATGAAGTCCCTCAGTGTATGCAAGAACCTAAAACAAACAGTTTAAAGGGAAGTGTTGATAAATAAAATATGTATTTAAGACTGAATCTGACAGTATCTTAGACAATGCTGTATAAAAATCAGTAAATTAGGGATTCTCTTCCTGAAGTCAAAATATAACACATCATTATCAATCTGAAATTTTTTTAAAGATTTCTTTATTTATTTGAAAGTCAGAGTTACACAGAGAGAGAAGGAGAGGGCAGAGAGGCAGAGAGGTCTTCCATCCGCTGGTTCACTTTCCAATTGGCTGCAATGGCCGGAGCTGTGCCGATCCGAAGCCAGGAGCCAGGAGGTTCTTCTGGGTCTCCTACATGGGTGCAGGGGCCCAAGGACTTGGGCCATCTTCTACTGCTTTCCCACGCCATAGCAGAGAGCTGGATTGGAAATGTAGCAGCCGGGTCTCGAACTGGTGCCCTTATGGGATGCCGGCACTGCAGGCAGCTGCTTCAACTGCTACACCACAGCGCTGGACCCATCAATCTGAAATTTACAAAATTTCTGCCTTTCTAAATTCTTAATTGGCTCATGATGAAATGAAGCAGAAAAATTAAATGTCCTAGGTGATCATGTGATTTAAATAATACAGCATATTATTACTCATGGATATTGTATATAATTAATTAGACCTGGTGACCACCTGTGACACATACAAGGGTACTTCAAAAAGTTTGTGTGAAAATGGAATTAAAAAATACACTACTTTCTGTGAACTCTTTGAAGACCCTTCATATAGTTGGTTCTTTCTAATATCATTTCTCTTTTTTGCTCAATGGAAGTCCAGTTATCCCGAAAGTACTCATGTGGTCAACTCCAGGCAATGCTTTATTATTGGTCTAAGCCAGGGCTTAGTGGTCTCTGCTGCACCTACTTGACTTTGCCGTTATGGTATGAATGCAGCCACAGACCATATGTAAATAAATGGGTTAGGCTGTGTCCCAATTAAACTTTACTTACAACAAGGAGTGCTGGCTGAATTTGGCCTCAAGGCCACAATTGGTTAATCCATTGTCTGAACCAGTTTTGGCAATGTTATTTCTCACTTTTCCAAACTCTCTTCCAACTTTGGGAAAGAACAGTTGGTTTACCACTTGCTGGTAAGAACAAAGCCAAAGGCAGCTGGGGCTGATGTGACCTGCTGCTGGCATATCCCTTTGCTTTTCTTGCTGGAATGGAGACATGATGGCTGAAACTGGAGTAACTCATGTATGATAATGACAGGAAGACCAAGGTAATTGTACCAAGGTTGGCCCTAATAGTGAGTACTGGGCCAACCTCAGCAATCATCAATATCTGACTACTTGTTGGTTGATGCAGATAAATTCATATTTGATTAAGCCACTGTTATCAAACTGGTAACAAACATATTTCTTCCTGATAACATCAACATATTTTAACAATATATAAACACTTTGTACTTTCATTGGTATTTTCTATTACACTTATATTTACTTCGATAAGAATGGAAACTAATTATTGTGTTTTACATACATTATATTTTTTAAGTTTTGAAAATAAGTAATGAAGTTTCTTTTACATCTCCTTTCTCTATAAAATATACGTATTTAGGGGCTGGTGCTGTGGCCTAGTGTGTTAGGCTGCTGCCTACACTGCTGGCATCCCATACCAGTTTGAGTCCTGACTGCTCCACTTCTGATCCAACTCTCTGCTATGGCCTGGAAAGCAGCAGAAGACGGACCAAGCCCTTGGGCCTCTGCATCCGCGTGAGAGATCCGGAAGAAGCTCCTGGCTCCTGGCTTTGGATCAGTGCAGCTCTGGCCGTTGCAGCCAACTTGAGAGTGAACCAGTGGATAGAAGACCTCTCTCTCTCCTCTCTCTGTGTAACTCTGACTTTCAAATAAATAAATCAATCTTCAAAAAGTATATATGTATTTATATATAATATGCATTTATATAATTGTGGGGTTTTTTTTTTAATTCCATTCTCAAACCCATATTTCACTTTCTGTCTTTCCCTTGACTTTGGAAGATTTTGGAGGCAGTCAGATATCTATTTAAAGCCAGAAACATTTTGAAGCCATACAGACTCCAATTTAAAATTTGTGTCTGTTATTTACTAAACACAGGATGTTGTAACCCCAAATGATTTTTGTCATCTGAAAAACAGTGATAATACCAGCTATTACTGGTTAGTTCAAGCACAGACAATGGATGTGAAGTATGCATCCCTAGCTATTACATTCTATTAAGTGTATATGTTCTTTTGTTGAGCATCATATGACAACTATTTTTCAGTTTCTAAATGCAAAACTTCTTTTTATACATTTCACAAAAGGCTTATAGTGAGTAGCCATGTATGAGTCTTAGTTAGTTATCATAGTTCCAGACTTGAATTTCATGAACTAGTACAATGTTTTAAAATAGGAAGGGGATGCAGATACAAGATTAACTTCTGTTTTAGTCAAGTAGGAAAAATTTCAAGAAAAAGCCAGCCACAAGTTCTGAAACTATCTTTGACTGTGATTATTATTTAACTAAAAAAAATGTAAGGTCTTTTGAAAAACCTACATAGTAAAATGAGTACTGTATAAAATCAGAAAAAAGGGCAGGACTTTTCAGGAAAGCTGTGTTGGCTCCCTCACAAGTACTGGCATAACAATGAGATATTCATTTCTAGATCCATACATCTACACCAAGCGTTTCTTCCCGTCAAGCATGTTTTCAGCTTTTATGTTATAGCAGGCATGCAGCTCAAAAATTACCTAGGAAAAGTCTGACTTCTTTGTGTTCCACGTAAAACGACCTCTGAAACAATTGTGCCAATTATTGTAGCCTGCCAGGTCCAAACTCACTTTTAATTACCATATCTGTGAAAATAAATCTACAGTCTTTAAATGCTTTCATTTGGCTAACTGGCATGATAATAAGCCTTGCCAGGACAAGTACAAGGCACCGATGAGACAAAGCAGGAACAAGTGGTTCTTCCTCCTAGCTCTGGTGTGGTTGCCCACTTAGCAGGCTCTTGCTGCACAGCACCTGCTCCTGTGCTGTGCAATAGCCAACAGCACCCACAGAGGAGCAGTTTTCTCAGTCCTTGGACTCCCTCGGAGGAGTTTTGTAGCACAGTGTATCTGGGGAGACTCCCTACAGGGTGGATTTCTGGAAAGTTTCTGGGGACAGTGGAAGTTCTTTGCCATTCAGTGAGCTACAGCCAGGCCCTCCCCAACATACCCAGGAGGGCATCTTCTTTGGGTTCTATGACAGCTTTAAGAGTACTGGCTGCTTTTTGGTGCATTATTCCTACATTCTGTAGAGTTATCTTTATTTCTTAGTAGCCATTCCCTTATTATCTCAACCTCCTATCATAATTTATATAATAATTACTTGTATTATCTGTTCACTGCCTAAATTGCACACAGTTCTCTCCTCTGATTGGGTTCAGGCTGATATACAAATTCAGTTTTCCTACCACCACTCTCTTAGTGCCACACAATGAAAAGGAAATAATTTTGCTAGTAGCTTGTAATCAGTGTAGGAAGTAAAATTTGGAAGATAGATCTCAAGGTGCAAAGCAATTCTGAACACTGGCAACATCATGTAAAGAAGTGGACAGCCCTTACCAAAAGGGCCATGGGAAGCAAAATTATTTATAAATTAAGAGTTTGCAGTCACTTATATAACATTCAAATATTTGAAATTTTTTCAGAGAGCTGATTAAATAAAATGCTATGAGCTACACAAAATTCCCTGCCAGGAAACCCCAATAGAGACAGCTGGGGTCTTTGTCTTTTTTTTTTTTTTTTTTTTAAGATTTATTTATTTATTCGAAAGGCAGAGTTACAGAGAGAGAAAAAAGAGGGGAGAAGAAAAGGGGGAGAGAGACAGAGAGAGAGAAAGAGAGAGAGAGTATGTTAGTTTCTATCCACTAGTTTGCCCCCCAAATGGCTGCAATGGCTGGAGCTGGGCCAATCTGAAGCCAGGAGCCAGGAGCTTCATCTTGGTCTCCCACGTGGGTGCAGGGGCCCAAGCACTTGGGCCATCCTCCTCTGCATTCCTAAGCACATCAGCAGGAAGCTGGACAGGAAGTGGAGCAGCCCTCATTTGTTCTTTTTATAGTAAGCCACCTCATGTTTTTCCTTCTCATTTTCTTCAAAATTCACTTATGGAATAGAATTTTCTTAAAAGTTATTTGAAAAGTTTTACTCCTAATAAGTTTTTTATTTAAAACTTTTATCCAGTCTTCTTAGCTGCCTTTTCTGGCACTCAATTCAAAGTTACCATATATTCCCTTTACTTTCTCTTCTACTTTATTCCTTTGCTCTAATTCTGTACATGGAAATGATTAATTCTCTTATTTGCTATTTTCCCTCTGCTCCCTGTGACATGAAAGTTCCATGAGAACAGGACTGTTGTCTGTTTTATTTATTACCCAATACACAGTGATTTAAAAAGTGCCTGGCACATATGTAATCCTTATGCATTTGTTTGTTGAATAAACCACTATGGGAAACTGACAGCGGTAATATGAATGGGGAAGGCTGCAGAGATATCTTACAAAGTACATGCATTTTGGACATCTTTGCAAAACTGGGAAAAGCATTCCAATTTGGCCTTCAGATTGGAGTTTATGGTCTAATGGTACAGCCCACCAAACATCCTGGTGACCGACATTTCATCAACATCTAAAAAGTCAATCAAAATAGAACAAATGGGCCAGCACTGCAGCTCACTTGGCTAATCCTCCACCTGTGGTGCTGGCACCCCGGGTTCTAGTCCCGGTCGGGGTGCCAGATTCTGTCCTGGTTGCTCCTCTTCCAGTCCAGCCCTCTGCTGTGGCTGGGAGTGCAGTGGAGGATGGCCCAAGTGCTTGGGCCCTGCAACTGCATGGGAGACCAGGAGGAAGCGCCTGGCTCCTGGCTTTGGATTGGCACAACGCGCCAACTGTAGCAGCCATTTGGGGGGTGAACCAATGGAAAGAAGACCTTTCTCTCTGTCTCTATCTCTCACTGTCTAACTCTGCCTGTCAAA